TCGACTGCGACAATGTTAGAACATGTGATCGCACAAGTTTTAATTGATGCCTTCGACTGCGACAATGTTAGAACATGTGATTGCACAAGTTTTAATTGATGCCTTCGACTGCGACAATGTTAGAACATGTGATTGCACAAGTTTTAATTGATGCCTTCGACTGCGACAATGTTAGAACATGTGATTGCACAAGTTTTAATTGATGCCTTTTAATACGTTTAGGTCCCCGACGTTTTTATTTAGTTTAAGTGCACGTTATTGTATTAAAATGTTACACAAAATCTTGAAATTCCTAGGTTATTTATTTAAGAATAACGTATCATATGATAAAGATTGGCTAGTTCATCATTGATTTTAGCTTCCCTTCTGATGTTTACGTCCCATGGATTATTCCTTAAAAGAAACAATCTCAAGTCAGCAATAAATAAAGAATAAGAAACGACCGACTTTATTTTTATTATAAGTCTTCCCAATAGTGGGATTGTGTATAACAAGTCTTCCCAATAGTTGGATTGTGTATAAGTGTTCTCAATAGTTGGATTGTGTATCAGTCTTCCCAATAACTGGATTGTGTATAAGTCTTCCCAATAGTTGGATTGTGTATAAGACTTCCCAATAGTTGGATTGTGTATAAGACTTCCCAATACTTGGATCGTGAAGGGTTTCTTCTGTTAAGGTCTGATAAAATTAGGCATCTCTATTTTTTTTTGGGGGGGGGGGGGGGGGGTTTAAAATTTATAATTTTTTTTTTTTTTTTTAAATATATGAATGATTTTTTTTTTTTTTTTATATGCCAAATTTCAAGAAATTTATTATAACTCAACTACTAAAAGCTCTTTACTGCTTGACTCTCTTAGATCTTGTATGATCGCTGTAAAGCAAGACCTTCTATTGCAAGTTTTAACATAATTTATCCTTTATTTACCAATGTATTATTATTATTACCGTGTTTTGTATTTAAAAAGACCATACTGTATAATTGATCATATTTTATTATGATGTATTGAAATCAAATCTTTCTGATTCTGGGCGATTTAAAAATGTGTATTTCTGTCTAAGAAGACTTTCTTTCTACTCGCAAATCCATGTTATGTCACTTTGTGGCGTAATTCTTTCGTTGTCCCAAGCGACCCTCTCGCTCAGTTGATCGCCTCTGCCTCGTGCTGACCTGAAAGGTCTCATCTGAGCTGTTGACACAGAGTTGCAGCTCCGGTATGGGTGTGGGGTTGTTGTGGTGGTGGGTGGTGGAGAAATATGAAAAGGTGATTTTAAAACAGCAAAAAACTCCACCCCTTCACTTCCAACAACCATCGGTCATAATTGTAGGATTGTGAGATGGGTGGGGGGAGGGGGAGTAGTGCAGGATATTTCGGAAATAAGGCTGTTGTCAACGTATGGCAAGCGACCAGGGTTATAAAATACCGCGGTCTTTAACTTCTACTTTTGAGTTTTATGCCTAGGTAAAAGTTAAGTCACTTTAAATGGTGTTTTTTTAAAGGATTCTTTGCTTTTAAAAGACACAAATTCTTCTGACGATAATTTGCAGATTACAAGTTGTATACAAAATTTAGAAATAAAAAGTATTCAATAATTTTTTTTTTTAAAGACCTTCATTAAAAGAAAAGTTTAAACGTACTTTTACGTGCATGTAATTTCGTCTGTGGTAGAGAATGAGTATTTTTTTAAATTAATTTGTTTTAAATTTTGTTTATTTAAAATTAATCCCATAACTACTGAAATCGCCCGTGACAAGCACAAACAAGTTTACAACTTAAACATTTCTCTTTAAAGATATGAAAGGCGAACCCATGGTGTTGGTATTTTTTTTTTTGAATTTTTTTTTTTTGTATGTTTGTTTTTTTGCACATATCATTTTTTTTTTAACAAGGGACGTTTCTTCATTCCTTGTTTATCTTCTAGTAAGTTTTTTTGCGTGTCTGTGACCACGTTCCCCTGAAGCAGAAAGGCGAACCCATGGTGTTGGTATTTTTTTTTTTGAATTTTTTTTTTTTTGTATGTTTGTTTTTTGGCACATATCATTTTTTTTTTAACAAGGGACGTTACTTCATTCCTAGTCTATCCTCAAGTAAGTTTGTTTGCGTGTCTGTGACCACGTTCCCCTGAAGCACCATAGTTCTGTACTTCAATCACCCATCCCTTAAAAGCTTGGTACTTCCATCGCCCATGCCTTAGAACCTTCCATTACCCATCCCTTAAAAGCTTGGCACTCATCGCTTAGAGGCTTGGTACTTTCATCACCCATCCCTAGAGGCTTGGCACTTCCATCACTCATCGCTTAGAGGCTTGGTACTTTCATCACCCATCCATAAGCAAGTCGTTGACTTTTCATGTGGGCCTAGCCTTCGCGGTTTTTATTAAAAATGCAATTAACACATATTATCCAATTTGGTTGTCATCTATCACAATACGTTTGGACCACCAGCAGCCACTTTGGGGCCCGCGAAGGAACGGAAAATTCTTTATTATTATAATTTTCTTAATAGCCCCCCCCCCCCCCCCCCCGTCCTATTTTATTTCGGCCCGCACAAGTTTTTTCATTAAAGCATTACGGCCCGCACAATTTTTTTATAAAGTATTACGGTCCACACAAGTTTTTCATAAAGTATTACGGCCCGCAGAAGTTTTTTCATAAAGTATTACGGCCCGCAGACGTTTTTCATAAAGCATTACGGTCCGCACAAGTTTTTTCATAAAGTATTAAGGCCCGCCTTACACTTTTAGTTCTGGAGGCCTGATCTAGATGATCACTTAACGATATTCTAACCATTGTTGGCTAACAATCAGTGACATATCCAAAGATATTCAACATATCACCCTGGAGTCTAAACTTTCTGTGTGTATCGCTCCACGATTTTTATTTTAAAAGGATTCATAGTCGGGCTTTTTTGTCACTATATTTGTTGGTCGTGAGAGTGAGGGGAGGAGGGGGAGGGGGGTCGCTAAAAACAGTATGAAGGTGTGTGACCTGGACCCCTCGAACCCTTAAAGGCTCTAGGCGTAACTGAAATATAAAATTAGTGGGAACGAGGTCTCCCTCGTGTTCTCTGTAATTTTTTTTTTATTTTAAAAAGTTAATGTTTATGCATTAGCTTTATTGGGGTGTACTTCGGCCCTACATTTACAACAGTAACTGGAACATGGGATGTCAAAACATTCTGACCAAGATAATATGAACAGTAACGTGTTACAGTTTTTTTTTAAGTTACACTTGTTAACCCCACTCAGCCTGGTCTCCGTTCTGATTAAGTGCTTCATTTAGCTTAACGATATGGACAGATGGACCAATTAAACAGACAGGCTTGTAGCACACAGTGGGATTTATTATTTAGACTTCGTACGGAAGATCGCTTGATAAGGAATACAAAAAGTTATTTATAACTCCAGTTTCGAAACTGAAATACAAGCCAAGTATTTGGAACCCACGTTTTCAAAAAGTGAACTGTGGTGACCCAAACCCGACGATCCCAATCAGGGAGAGGTCGTGTTATTTCATCATCATCTTAGGCCATGTTAAAAATTAACTCTTCAAGGGAGATCTTCAAAGGGGACACGACCACATCACCTCTCCCACTGAACTACCAAATCACCTCTCGCACTGCACCACCACACCACTTCACTACCGAATCATCTCTCCCACTGCACTTCCACATGAACCACTGCACTACCACATTAACTCACCCACCATACTAACACATGACCTCACCCATTGCACTACCACATCACCTCTCCCACTCCACTACATTTCACCCAATACACCACCACATCACCTCACCCACTGCACTACCAGATCAATGGGACATGAATCTCACCTACCTTCTGTCTGAACGCTAATGGAAAATTTAGATTTTGTAATGCCTGATGGTTCATAGACAATATAGTTAAAGAAAAGATACAGAATAAACTCTAAGAGTTAACTTTCTTTCTCACTCTCTCTACAAAACTCAATAGCACATAAATAATATTTTACCTATTCCAAAAAATTAAATATTGAATGAAAAAAAAATGTCAGATAAAAAAATATGGTTGAACCTTTTAATAAAATATGCTCCAAATATTGTAAATAAGACAACAGGTATAAAATTATTTGTCTTAAAATGTTATCTTTTTTAAAATTAAGTATGTCAGAGTTCATGATAGTAAAAAAATATAATCATTATACGGCAGGATCAAGTAAATGACATTTTTAAAGTATATTTCATGTCATGATTACCAAGAATTAATAAAAAATACATTGTGGGGCAACATTAATTTACTTCATGTGAAGTTAAGGACATAAATAAGCCCCTAAAGCACTAAGACAGATATTAATTTGAAAATCTTCAAATGCCGTATTTGAATACAATCTATCTTGTAGACCAGGCCTGCACAACTCAAAATCTAAGGCAGGTCGTAATACTTCATGAAAAACTTGAGCGGGCTGAAAGATATAGGACAGGGGGGAAACTTAAGAAAACAATAATAAGAAAGAATATTTCGTGACCTCGCGGGCCACATAGCGGGTGCTGGCAGGCGGCACGCAGGCCGAATGTTGTGCAGGCCTGTTGTAGACAAATGAAAAAAACATTGACGTGTTGATAATCAAACACAATGTGTTTTTAAGATGGTCCCAAATAAAATTAAGTGAAAAATATCCTGACAGTTAAGGGCTCTGAATTTTTTTACCCGTATCTCTTATACATATTTTACTTCTGGTGTGGCTGCTTCCTTATAGCAACCGGCCCTCCCCCTACTCAAAATGTTCTATAATAATAGTACTCCGTGGAAAAACAAAAGTAGTCAGGCAGGGAGTGACATGCGTGACAGTTGAACCAGGGAAAGAAGGTTGAATTTTTAAGGAGATTACTATAATATTAATCAATAAAGAGCCCCGGCTATGGTGTAGGACTGTCTTTAGGACTATTTAAAGGCCAGCATATATTACATAAAATGAGAAGTTTACTCTTTTTTTTAACACTTGGACCTCTCCAATTTCAGGGTATTTTCTCGAACTCGATCCTGGTTACGCCCTAGTACTTACATATTTTAGAAAAGACATTGATACAAATTCAAAGCTTACGCAAATTGATATAAATTGAAATAAAATTACATCAATTTTGAGCAGGTCATATTTAAGCAAACAGTGATTTCTGACTAGTAAAAAATGAAAGAAAAAAAAAATGTAAAAACAATTTAATGTTGTTGAATGGATATTTTAAACTATGGTTATTCCCTCTTGTGAGCGTAAATGTAAATGCCATTTTCAGACTTCATTGTTACACTGGGAGTTCTGCGAGTCTTGTACAGAGGATCCACTGTCAGTTTAAATCTGAAATGAGTAAAGTGAACAATACGTTCAGTAGACCCTAAGTAAACAATAAATAAATTGTAAATTACATGGTAACTCTATTTATAGATTCACTTTTTGATTTATAATGAATTTTCAAAAAAAATCATGTGACATATGTAGAATTTTGTCTACAACAGAAAATATTACAAAATTTTAAGTGTGTACTCAAAAGTGGGTATATTCAAACCTTTGGTGCTTACACAGGTAGACAACTGGTAGGTCAGAAAGGCTCTCTGCCCCTGTTTCCAAAACTTGATAGAAGGAGAGTTAGGAGACTTAACTCCTGTATCAAACACATAATTTTAATTGTACTTACCTTTGAATCACTCTGCTTACAGTAACCTTCATTTCATTCATTGCAAAATTTTGTCCAATACAATTCCTGTGTAAGGAAAGCGTCAAATAATAAGGTTACTTTTATTGGTGAGCTAATTTTAATTTCCAAGATTGTGACAGATTTAATCTTGTAGCTCTTAGTAAACCTGTACGCTGTAGGTTCAAACCATTAATTAAAATTGCCTTCTGACTTGAATCAGTTGTCCTGAGAAAACATTTTTATCTACTCACACACATCAACAAAATTATATAAATTTAACCTGTCGTCTCTAACACCCAGCTATCAATATATAAACTTTATCCTGCTGCCTAAAAAGTATTGCCTTCACATAATGAATTAAGCAACAAGGCTGAATAAAGAAATATAAATGCTGTCTTAAGCCCACCAAAACAATCATTTGTATTGCCCTATGGATACATAGAGTTTGAGACCATTTAGTGCTAAAATTTGCTAAACTGACCTTGACCCAGCAGAAAAAGGAACAAACTGAAAAGGATCCATTTTTTGCTGATTGTCAGGATGAAATCTCTCTGGTTTAAAGCTGTGTGGATCCTCCCACAAATGTGGATTGTGATGCAAAATCCATATATGAATGGCAACTCGGGTGCCTGAAGTTGGAATTAAATGAATAAATAAAGCTTATTTCATTGACATGTGGTTATTTAATTTGTGATTTCAACACAGAACGTTATCATATATGAAATATAAATTTTTTTAATCAGATTATTTGAGGGAGTTATCCGCTTTTAAAAATCATCAAGATTTTATGATGAAGTGGGGATGTGTTGGAAGTGGGCGGGGTGTTCAGAAATTTATGGGGATGTGTTGGAAGTGGGCGGGGTGTTCAGGAATGTATGGGGATGTGTTGGAGTGGGCGGGGTGTTCAGGAATGTATGGGGATGTGTTGGAAGTAGGCGGGGTGTTCAGGAATTTATGAGATGCGTTGGAAGTGGGCGGGGTGTTCAGGAATTTATGGGGATACGTTGGAAGTGGGCAGGTGTTCATGAATGTATGGGGATGTGTTGGAAGTGGGCGGGGTGTTCAGGAATTTATGGGGATGTGTTGGAAGTGGGCGGGGTGTTCAGAAATGTATGGGATGTGTTGGAAGTGAGCGGGGTGTTCAGGAATTTATGGGGATGTGTTGGAAGTTGGCAGGGTGTTCAGGAATGTATGGGGATGTGTTGGAAGTGGGCGGGGTGTTCAGGAATGTATTGATGGAACAACAGTTGTTGCTTTTTTTTCTCCAGATTTAGAGAACAAATGTATGATGCCTGCTCTGACCAAAACTGTTAAAACTGTAAGCTTGCTTTGAACATGAGTGAGCTATGCAGTCACTTTGAAAAACTGCTGTCAACATGACAAGCCCAGGCACTCCGGCTGTAAAAGGGTTTGGAGAGGAAATGAGAGGCTTCATTAAAAATAATACTCCTCAATCTTCAGGTCATTAATTATAACCCAACACCTAACAACCAATTTTAAATGAGTAGCCCAGCATTATGAAAGCATGTTATGATTTTCAACTTCAACTTGTGAGGTGGGGGAGTCAGGTAAGGGTGGGGGACACTTTGGGCAGACCAGATGTTACCTCCCCTATGAATTGTAACAGGATCTTTATAATTACCTGCAGGGATAACATGACCATGAATTTCGCAATCTTCAGTTATGCGTCGTTCGATAAATGGAACAGCTGTATGTAACCGCAAACCTTCTTTGATGCACATAGTGGTAAAGTCTAATTTTGCAAGGTCATTCCTGTTTTTTATCCAAAAAAAACATTATTGTAAGAAAAATTAATGTTTGAATGGTTTTAAAGTTGTTTTCTTTTAACATTTGATTGTTATAAGATTTTTTATAATCTCGTAAGTAAGAACTGAAAAGAAATGGTTTTAAATTATTACATGGACCCTAATAGCTGTATGTGTGTCCATTTTATTCTTGTAATAAATACATTTCATTACCTTGATATATAAATTGTAATAACAATCTCATTTCAGAAGTTGGGAACACATAAACACAAAGCAAAATCATGATTTTCACCGACTCAACTGCGCTTGCCATTTCACTAACCATTCTAAGTGTTCCCTTCCTTGAAGTACTTCCATGACCTCCTCGTACACCCTCTCCTGGTACTCTGGGTGTTGGGCCAAGGCGTACAGTGTCCAGCTCATCCCACTTGCTGTTGTGTCATGGCCTGAAAGGATTATTTAGAAAAGACTGTACACTGTACATTTTATTTGTTAGAGAATAACTGAAGCTAAAAGCTGAGTTTTAATCAAGATCTGGAATGCTAAATTCTACCAGTTTTAACACAACAAAACATATTACACAAATTTATAATTAGGCGCCATTAGTCTTGTTTTCAACTCAGCTGTGATGCCAAGTAGATGAAGTGCTGTGTAAGTTTTCTCAGAATAAACTATTAATTTTAATAATGCTGCAATGAATACACTTTATTTTGAATTTGTTCTTGTCATTTCCCATCTTAAAAATCGGTAATTTAATGTTAATTAACAATGTCAGTTGAATTAGAGCAATCCCTTCTTAACACAAGACGTGTTAACCTGGGTAAGTAAGGGATGAAATGGGGTGGTGGTGGTGGAAATTTTATATCATATCAGCAATGGACTTATGCACTTAGTTTTTTGCAAAATACCTCATGACCTCATTGAAATGTATGGATTACTTAAGGAGTATGTATGGAGTATTTATGGAGTATGCATGGAGTATTTATGGAGTATGCATGGAGTATGCAAGAAGTATCTATCGAGTATGGAGTATGTATGGAGTATGTATGGAGTATGTATGGAGTATGTATGGAGTATTTATGGAGTATTTATGGAGTATTTATGGAGTATTTATGGAGTATGTATGGAATATGCATGAAGTATTTAAAGAGTATGTATGTAGTATGTATGGAGTATGAATGGAGTATGCATGGAGTATGCATGGAATATGCATATGTATAAAGTATGCATGGACATTGTATGAATTATTTATGGAGTATGTATACGTATGAAGTATGTATGGAGTATGTACCCTCAAATAAGAATGTGTCCACTTCATTTCGTATTTCCATGGGGTTCAGCCCATTACCATCCTCATCCTTGGCAGTCAGTAGCGTATCTAAAAAATCCTTAACTTTTCTCTGTGACACTTGATCAGCTTCTTTCTCCTTACAAAGAGTCAAATTAAAAACATAATGTTGTAGCTCAGGTGTAATGTTGAAACCTTTAAAACCCTCAACAGTGATATTAACATCTATAAAACTAGAAATTACATGTTTTTCTTCTCAGATGAAGATACAAAATAAAATTTACCTGACAGTATCTTAAAAAATGTCATGATACTATCAATATTTGTTAAACTTAATGCATGAATGAAAACTGATAAAGTGCTCTGTCAATGATTCTTTACTATCCTTCTTTTTTTATCCCAGAAGTAGATGTTACAGTGATCTGGACTATACAAAAAATATTTGCAAATAACCTTGAGATTTCTTAATTTGGGTTAAAATTAATCACTTTTGAACTTGGAAGTTTATTCCAGTGACTCAACAAAATTTACTGCTTTATTTCCAAATCTTATAAGTTAACAAATTACCAATTCTTTCCTTCGCTTTTCAATTATTTCCTCAGCCACTTGATGAGCAACATCACACAGTTGATAAAACTTCTTGCCGTGAGAGGTAAAACTGTAGATAAACTCACTGTGCAGAAATGGTTTTCTGAAATGAAATGAATTGAAATATGCTTAGAAGCTTTGATGTGAAGCTGTAGGGTTTAATAAAAGGCTGTGCCAATATAGCTGAAACAAAAAATGTTTCTTGAATTTAAGTTTTTGGGCAACAATATAATCTTTTTATCTTCCGAAACATTAGATTCAGAAGTTAATTACCTTGGTGAACTATTGTATCTCAAACTTAATTATTTAAAAGCAAGTTAACTTACAATGAACGATCTGCCCACATAGCTTGTAGCTGACTAATAGCGTCAGTGTAAGTACTTCCTGATCTTAAAAACATATAGGTGATAAATTATTCTCCGGTCGTTAAGAACTAAAAGGAGGTAAGATTCATAGTTAAAAGTTGAATTATAAATCTAATATCAGATTAAATTTCTCAGATACTAGGCATTCTCTAATATTTTATATTATTAAAAAAGGGAAAGTTTTTTTTATAATATTGATTTTGTTTTAATTTCCTTAGTGTAAATCTTCTAAACATCTTCCCAAGTGCTTCAATAATTATTTCATCTTCAGTCACAATAGATTAGTAATTGATAAACGCTGTATTGTAAATCCTATTTATTTCCATTCACTTTACTTAAATTCCCTCTTAGAACCACCATTATTTTTATATAATTATCTTAAGGCCACAAACTAGCAACTACCAATGGTCACCACTAAATACCAAAACAAAATGATTATAAAGATATTTCAATAATGTGTCATTACAGGATCAAAGCAGTTACTCAAAATGAATCGTAATTTTTAATATTCCAAAATTATCAGAAATAACTAACAATTATATAGCCTATAAAATAACTAAGATGTCCTAAAAATCTACATACTTTGTCTTAATTTATCAAATGTTAAATGAATAAATATCTACCCAGATGTCTGACAATTTGAAATGTAGGAAAAAGCACATCGTAGGATAACATCCAAGGCATCGAGGTTGATCAATGTGTAAATATCAAACGACTGATCAAGCCTGGCAAAGCTTTCAATTTTTTCCTGAAACATCAACACACCATTAAGAAAAGAAATTAGAAAAATATTTGAAATATGCATAACGGGGCAGGAAAAATTCTGAAAAAAAAAGGATGCAACTAAACAAAAAAATGTCTCAGCAAGGTGCCTTCTCCAGCAAACAGTACAGTATAAACAAAGAGTTACAAATATAAAAGTAAAAACTTAGCTGAAAGATATATCTGGGATACAGGCTTTACCCTACCTTGTTTGACATATCTTCTTCTTCTATATCTTAAGGGCCCACGATCAATTTATTGATCATTTTGGCTCCTATGCATGTAGATGGGATTTGCAATGTTTCTGTTACTGGTGGTCTACTCCTTTAATACGTGATCCCCAAACTTCCGAACTGGCAATAGACACAAATGTGTCTAGTGTTGTCGCCTCAACTGTTCCTTTTGAAAGATGGTTCCAGTCCCTGATTGTCTTGGGCAGGAATGATAATATTCTTTTTACCTAACCTGATTCTGGGATACAGGCTTTACCCTACCTTATTTTACATATTCCTTTTACCTAACCTGATTGCAGTCTCCCCCCACCCTTTTATTATCATAAGCAATATGTAGGATTGTCAATACTATGTCATGGGGAAAGAACTGGTGTGAGTGTTGACTGAAAGTTAAAAAAAGCTTCAAAAACACTGCTCTAATTATTTCACTGAAGTTAAGTTTAACCATATAAACAATTAGATGAAGATAACCCTGCTTAAGACAAAAGTGTTGTAAAACATGTCAATTAAGTTCAACCTGTTAACTGAGAAGAACCCGCCATAGACATTTCTGTTTTCCGGAATTCAAACTTACAATTAATATATCTGCACATTGATTGTAAACCTCGACATAAGGTTTCAGGATTTCAAAATGAAAAGCCGGGGTAAGCAGACGCCGACTCCTAGCCCATTTAGCTCCATTGGCTAACAGCAGACCTTCTCCTAACCAGCGCAGTCCCATGTCATAGGGTGTGGATATAAATGTGTTGCGGGACTTAGGGGCTGGGGAAAGAAAATATTTAAAAGGTGGTTTTTATTGATTTTCTTTAAATTCTATTTTTAGCTATTAAGTTTAACATCTTCGATGCTCATTACATAATGTAAGCCATTTAAAAAAATATGTTCAAATGTCAGAGGTTGTGTAGGTATAAAACGTCATGCAGTCATTATGATGTCTTACACTTTTTAAAAAAAATAATTTAGCCCGACTTATTGTACAGATACTAAATTTCAAGTAGCCTACTGATGAATTCATACGCTCTATTTCAATGAGACAAATTTAAAAATTCATAAAAAGTGTTTTCCCTACCTGAGGACTTGAGAATGGGTCGTATGGCATCAGGGTGGTACAATATACAAGCTGGTATTAAGGGTCCTGCCCATACCAAATGGAAATAGCAGTTTTTTAATGCCAAGTTGTAATCAAAGTTCAAACCCTCTTCATTATTTCCTGGAAACTAAACAAAGCAGACAGAATTAACTGTCTTTGATTATTTCCAAATCATTCTGCACAGATAGACTTTGATTTTTACATAGAATTAACACAATTTGTTACATATTTTGTCAAATGTTAAAAGGTGTTTTTCTTCTTCTATGTATAATGTTACCTTTTTCAGTAACCTATCAATACATTTAAACAAATAAAATCCCTATAATATTAAAAACAATGATATACAGCCAGTGGCAGACCCTAAAGAAAAAAGTTAGGCATGCTAGGTCAGAGCTGGTTAAAAAAAAAGCTTTTCAGGGTGTTTGTAATAAAACAATAGCAGAGTTTGTAACAAAACAATAGCTTCTTTTAGTTACACAAACTGATATTATGATTTGATATGACAAATTGAATTTCCCTTTTTTCTTCAGGCACTCTCGTGTAAATATATCTCACCACCTTATGAATAGAAAGTAATGTTTGTTAAGGATCTGCCAAACAACAAAAGACATGATATGCGACAATTTTTTTTTCTTCAGATATTCATACCTTATCTAGATTTTATTTCAGGTAGTCACATCTGAGCTTGTTTCCTGCATTCTCATAGTAAAAAAATTATTTTGGAATGCAGAATTATCTGTACTTACTGCATGCAAAGTTCCGGTTGTGTATCTATAGTCTGCTGACATAGGTAGCTTGAAATATGCTTTGCGATAAGCGATGAACTTTCTCAAATATTTCACCAACACATAGGCCACTAGACTGAGCACAAGGTATGTAACAATCATTCTGGCATGTGAGTTTCAAATAGAATGAAGATTTGCTTAATGTGTGTTAAACCTGAAATTGGGATAAAAATGAAACAATTCATCATTATTTGTATTTTTAACAATCAGCTGAGCTTTAACAAGCAGAGAATTTAATCAGTTTTTTTAAAACTTACAGCTCCTCTTTGAAATCTAATTCTAATCCTAACTCAATCACTTTACTACAGTTGTTTGCCTGAGAACCTACGAGAGGAGAATTTTGTTGATTCATTTAACATAAAGTTGAAGCCCAACGAGATTTCCTAGACTCACTTAGACTATGTCATGACTAAGCCTAAAGGAATTTTTTATGAAAGCATATTCATATTCAACAAAATTTTGCTTTAAATGTAGCAGACAGGGTGATTAGACATCTTCTTTTTAACTTTTAATGAATTAATGGGTCAACAGTGGTTTAACAATGGCTTGGTTCATCTTTCAACTGCCAATATTTTCAACTATTTAATAAGTAGGCCTCTTCTTAAGTAAAAAGTAATAAGGTTAGGCCTATAAGTTATAAGATCAAAATGCAGCAAACAAAAATACAAACTTTTACCTTCTAATTCTAACTGAGCATCTGAACCATTTTAGTGATCTTATTTAAACTTAAACCATGAGTGATTAGGGCATTAGAGTTAGAGCAATATCATGAATGTGTGGATTATAATTTTTTTTTAAATTATTATTTTTAAGAAAGACAATATATATGGCTAATGACAAAAAAATTACATCATACCATAAAATTCCTTTCTGAATCCTCCTAATTAAATAACTTATTAGACTAATAAGTATAAGTATAAGGCCACAATGATCTCCAATTATTAAAATTTTACCCGGCCACATTCACCAGAGTCACAGTTAAATTCAGACTATATACTATATTAGTTAACTAAAAGTTAATTTATTTTTTTTACTTGTCTTGATACGAAGCCACAGTACAAGTCTTTGTAGTAGAGTAGACCATATAATATAATATGATTGGGAGAAAGTGCAATGTGAACGTCCGCTTTAACTTTACTTTAGACTTTAGGCGTAGCCTTTAGTTTTAGTTAGGCCTTTAACCCTCTGGAGACGTAAGGGCCGATCTATCGGCCCTAGGTACACTAGCGAGAAAGACGTCAAGTCCGAGCCGTCGGCCTGATAGATCGAGCCTCACGATTGGCTGGCTTGGCGTTGTACCAGCGAATCAAAATTATTCATACGTATTCCTGCACATCCCGGCATTGTAATGGCGGCGTTCGTTGAAGGTGAACTCAATTTATTTGTTTGCAGGAATTTTTGTGTGTGTGTGTTGTTACATCGTGAATTTCGAACATGTCTGACAGTGACTCTGATCAAACTGTACTTAGTAATTTTGATATTCTAGCAGTGAATCTGACACTGAAACTGCTGAAAACAACCAGGGAATTAATGAAGACTTTCAAATTGAGGGTAATGCTAATGTTGTGAACTCTTGGTTTAGTATTACTAGTATTAGGGGTCCTCAAATGGACAGAGATGACCCCTCTGAATTTTTAGACAACATAAGTCCTATAAATAAGTCATAAGCACCCCATTTGAGTATTTTATGCTATTTTTTACACTAAATATCACTCAAGTGTTAATGAGAGAGACCAATTGATATGCAGACACATTTGTCAGTAACATTCAGCTTAAGAGAAGGTCCCTAGGTCATAAATGGGGGCCTGTTACAGTGTGTCTGTAACAACTGAAAAATAGGGGGTGGGGGTGGGAAAGGAGTAGAACCATGTGCCAGAGGTGTCTGAAGGGCCTTCATGGGCCCTTTATCTAGCAGTGAATTTGACACTGAAACTGCTGAAAACAACCAGGGAATTAATGAAGACTTTCAAATTGAGGGTAATGCTAATGTTGTGAACTCTTGGTTTAGTATTACTAGTATTAGGGGTCCTCAAATGGACAGAGATGACCCCTCTGAATTTTTAGACAACATAAGTCCTATAAATAAGTCATAAGCACCCCATTTGAGTATTTTATGCTATTTTTTACACTAAATATCACTCAAGTGTTAATGAGAGAGACCAATTGATATGCAGACACATTTGTCAGTAACATTCAGCTTAAGAGAAGGTCCCTAGGTCATAAATGGGGGCCTGTTACAGTGTGTCTGTAACAACTGAAAAATAGGGGGTGGGGGTGGGAAAGGAGTAGAACCATGTGCCAGAGGTGTCTGAAGGGCCTTCATGGGCCCTTTCCCCCCAAAAAATAAGTATTAGGACTTATTCAGGCTTCATCCAGCAAAAAATTCACACAATTGATACAAGTAAGTCATGTTTATTCTAGGTGTAACAAAAAATTACACGCATAAATTATGCAAATAAGGGTACCTCATTTGCATAAATTTTGATATGTCAGTTTGATTCATAAAGATTGTATTAGTTCATTCAATTTCCTACAAGAATATATATAGTTTTACACATATTAAGGGAATAGTTTATTTTTTATACATTTTTTTGCAATGCGAGTGTCGAGCTCATAAAAAGTGCTCCGTCTTTTTGGTACATACACCCCGAAAAGGCTCCATCTCCAGAGGGTTAACATTAATTGTGATTGTCAATTATCGGCCAATTGTTTGTGCTGTGACCTCCATATACTAAAATACTAAAAGAGCATTTTGATTATTACATAAATTACTATTAGTGTTAGGTTTCACTCCTATTCTACACGCAACTTAAACTTTCATAAAATTTAAAAAGGTATGATGAGGAAAAAGGCTAAATCACAATTGTATGTATTAAATAAATTAAATAAATGCATTAATCACAACTTTGACTTTCGGCTACGCCTACTCAAATTAAATGTAGGCTATATTTCATTATCCAAATCAATTTGAATAGCCAACAATCATTAATATTAATGCACACATTATTAATGAGGAAGTAAAGTTAAAGTTAACGCACCGCCGCCGACAGTAGACTCGACCTCACAGCCCTTGAAATAATCCCTGTCCTTTCTTTAGAAAAATTGGATTTTCTCGAACACAAACACGGTGTGTGTCGCTTTACCCTAACATGAACTATGATAAGGCAGGGCTGTGGCTAAGTTAGAAGCGGAGTCAGGTGGAGTTTTTGCGGAGTGGGAGTCAGCGATTCTCTCACTACAAATTTATTAATTTTATTCCTATTGACTTTCCCGTTTTAAATTGTAAAACAAAAACATATTTAGATATTTACTTTGATTTGGAATCAATAATTCAATGATTATTGTAAAAAAAAAAAACGGTTTTCAACAGCGGTAGCTAGTTGAAAAAAAGTAACCCATTTCATTATATTATAAGGCTGCTTCTATAGGCACCCGGTTACCTACGGTCGCCAATGACTATTCGCACCCGGAGTGGCTCCCTACAGATTAAATGGCTTCGGAGCCGGGTGTGATAACAATAATAGTATGAGAATTATTTTTTTTTAATTGTTTTTTCTCCATGTTATTTCATAGATTCATAGTTTTATTCTTTTTAGTTGTTTTTTTTTATTTTCGCTTTGTTAATTTTTCTTAGGACGGGTAGATTTTTTTTCTTTCTTATTTTCTTTTTTAGTTTAAGCCATTTTCATAGATCATTTTTAAGATGATTTAGATACATTTATTGTTTTTTTTTTCATTTGAATTTTAGAAAAGTAATAATATAAATCCTTTATTTAAGATTATTTATGTGTATTGTTTAAGTTAAAAGATTTAATCACACAGTACTTTATAAATTAATTAGGTATTCTAAATGATGAAAATTTCATTCACAATGAATTAATTTCAACTATTCCTCTAGAGAGCTTGGCTTAGTCAGAACAAAACCACCAATTTTAAACTTTTTCCTTGGCACTGGGAGTCATACATGTGGACACTGACTGTTTTTCCTGATATCTCAAATCTCCTTTCAACAACTTTTCTCATTTGACTTGACCTAATTCACAAGGTAGTTGCAATGAACATCTTAAAGTTAAAGGATGCCATTGTATAAAGCATGAGAAAGAGACTTATCTTTGGAGAACTCGTCTTTTTTTTTTTTACCATAGCTGTCTACTGGGTCTAACACACTGGTACATAATTAAAATTTAATAGAAAAACAAAACCTTTTTGACTTGAGAACATTTTTGTTTGGTTGTTAGTTATTTGAGTTGTGTACTCAAGTAATCCATAAAATAAATTAGGGGCCAGTAAGGAGTAGGCAGCCAATAAACTCATTCAATTAGGTCACATCATTCATTTGCCAGTTGTCTCCTTTTACTTTCTCACATTCCTTGTTGGTACCCGTACAGTTAACTATTGTTTGTATCATTTCTTCATTTAAGTACAGATGTAATTTTTGAGTGGGAGCAAATATATGTGATCTGTGAAGGTAGTTTGGTTTCAAGGCAACTAAGTCATGCCACATTGAAAATAAAATACTGATAACCCTCAATAAATAGAGCCATTGAAAAATATAGTACATACAAACCATACACAAACAGAAAGACAAAAATGTACTAAAGTTTATTTTTTTTAAATTTTGTGTGACTTTTATTGCAAAAAATTAAACATTTTATACCAATTTTGACTTTTACGCAAAATGAATAAAGACAAATTTGTATGGCATTGTATTGTAACTTATTGTACTGTATTGTAAATGAAACTTGGCATACACATTAAGAATAATATTGACATAAAGTTTAAAGAAGCTTATTACATAGCAGTTATTGGAAGTGTTACAAATGGCATGTATGTGGGGATCACATAAATATTCGAGAACTCTTCAGGAGTAGCAAATGTAAAAATGTTATAAAACTTTTCTAGTTGGATATACCCGGTTTATAAAAAAAAAAAGCCTCTTGAATATTGTAAAGAATGTCAATGAAAAGAAGAAGGCAATGTTTGAAGGCTGTAGCTAGAATACTTTTCCTCCCAATTCATTTGGCGTTCCTAAAAAATCCGGAAAATGCAAAATTGAGAAAAATGAAAAAAAGTATAAAATTGTGTTTTTTTAAATTAGAGGGCTGCATGAACGATATAGGATGCATACACCAATGTACATATACCATTCATGAATTAAAAAACAATTAGAAAACTAAGACAGAAAAGATAGAAAAAAAATTAACACACGAACCTAATAAAAAAATATATATAAATTAAAAAATTCTGAAAAATTTTCCTTTGAGATATTTGTTTAAAAACCATCCATCATAAAGTAGAGAATGTCAATATAAATAAGCATGCAAAGTTTGAATTATGTAGTTCCAAAACTATTCCTCCTGATTCATCAATTGACGTCAGAAAAAAAAATGAAAATGCAATATCGATAAAAGCTGAAAAAGACACTGACAAATGCTTATTAAAAAAATTAAAGGTTACTTGAACAACATTGGATGCATACATCATGAACACATTCCACTCGTTAATTAAAAAAAAATAATTTAAGTACATAGATATAATTGATAAAATGCATTTTCCCAACAACCCACTAGCCTCGAGCCTAATAAAAATAATAAGATCATAAAAACTTCGGAATTTTGTTTATGAGACATGCAATAAAAAAAAAACATCAATCATTATGTAGAGAATATAATAGAAAAAAACCTTGCAAATTTTGAAGCATGTGGTAATAATATTTTTCCTCATAATACGTCAGAGATAAATGGAAAATCCTAAGTGGACCACTTTAAAAAGAGAAAAAATTCAATTAAGCAATATTAGATATATAGGAGTCAAATAACATGAAATTTAAAGCATATCAATGTGAAATTATCATAAAAGATAAGAATTTTCTATATATTTTTACAAATTTTAAACAATATTGTAGAGCATGTTAATGTTTTTTTAATAAGAAATCAATAGACTCAGTTGTAGGAAACAAAAATCTGCCCAAGAAATATAATAAAAATGGTTATTTACACAATTTTGTAAAATAATTTTCAGCACATTAAAAACATTTACATATTTAAAATTGTTTATAAAAATAGCTGAAATCTTTCGGAACCAATCATTGCGAATTAGCAGTGAAAATAAATTTACAAGAACAAGTCAAGAATGACGATTATCTCAGCAAGGCCTTTTCAAACCCAGTTGTTGGGTTCAGCTGTCTATGTTCTATATACCGGTTCCGGGGTATTCACTTTTCTGCGTGTTAACTTGTCCTGTGTTTGGATGTGTTATGGTGAGTTGTGGGTTTACTTGTCCTGCGTTCATTTGCGCGGCCACCGCAACGGACACAAACCATAAAGTTTATGCAGCATTAACGATCAGAAATCTGCTTAATCTATACACGGGTAAGCCGCGGCGACTGCGTTGCTGCCCACAGCCTTACTAAACAGAAACATGGCAAAGCCGTGGAGGCCACGTCGCTCTAGGTAACCCGACGTATTACTTTAGTGTATAAGAGAATGACTTTGGTAATCAGCAGACCAGACCAGGAAAACGGCGCATGGGCAAAAAAAGGTGCGAAGCGAGAGACTCGGCTACGTAATAGAATTCCACCAACAACAGAGAGCGACCAATTTCCAAGCGTTGGGTGATGTGTAACGAGCAGATCTGGGAAACGTTACAAGCGGACCAGGGGTTATGTTGCGATATGTTCACTAGAAAGTTGTGCCACCCAATACCACTAAGTTTTAAAAAAAAAAAAAAAAAAAAAACTCTTCAGCTCGCCGAAAATGCCGCCCCTCATATTTTTTTTTTAAAAGTGGCACCTGTGTGAACCACCCCCTCCACAGCCCCCTTCCTATCCAAGTGGATTGACTTTTTCTCGAAAATTGTGAGTCATAGTAGGCAAATAAGCTATTTAAATGGTCTGTGGTTGGTCAGCTCTAATTTGATAGATGGAAATTAATTATTTAGATGCCACCTAAGTTGTTTCTGGTTTGTGGTGAGTAAAATAAGAGGCAGTGTTAGTGATTTTATGTATCTGGATGGAGCCAAGTTGCTTTGTTAGTCATCTGTTTGCAATGGTGTTTATTTCGCTACTGACATATATTTCATTACTTTCCCGCTTTTTGCCTCTTAGCCTTAGTAAATCACCAGCTATTTATTGAGAAAGAAATCGAAACTGTCACAAATTGTAAGAAAGGAAATTGACAATTTTATTTAAAGTTTTAACATACATTTCCCACATAACCCCCACCCTCAAAATTCTAGCCGCGTTACGTCCGTAATGGATGCACAACCGTGCAAAGGAAAAGCAGCGCCCTGGGCGAATGCGCCCCCTGATATTGAGGTCCCTTGCGAGTACCACCTTTACACATTGCTGTGCATGGATCCAGTGGGCTAGAAAGAAATATCAGACAAAGTAGATAGATCTATAAAAAAAAATTAAAATTATTTAAATCTAAATATATCCAATTGGGCAACTTTTATAACGTATCTTTGAAGACAGAAGAGTTCTCCTTGTTTTCCCACAATGGCGTCATTTATGACTAAAGATTCACGAAATGTAGGCTACTTTTTTTTATTTTTATCTTGTTCAATTTTTTTAATTGGTTATTTTACATGAACAAAAAGACGCTATTTTAGGCCTTTAGTTCCATCAGGTAAAGAGGAAGTTTAATTTTATATCACTAGACTAGACATAATTAATCGCGCTCAAATTTCATGATTCATTGCCTTAACTTAGGCACTTGGATACAAAATTTAAAAAAATTCAAATAATTTTTTTAATAGCACAGTTAGTTAGAGCTAATTTCAAATAAAAAAATGAAACCAGAATCAACTTTTTAGCTTAAGTACTTTTTGAGCTATGAATTTTTAAAGTGTGAGTTCGTTTGGTATTTTTTACTACGAAGTGTCTACACGTCCGGCGCGCGTTTTTTTTCTTCCCATTTTAATTAAAATATTTTGTATACCGGTATATTTATATTATCATGTTCCTCAGCAACAGTATTTTCATGAGAAGTTTTTAAATATTTTGTAGCAATTGAAATAATTTAAAATGAAATCTTTAACTTTTATTGGTTGCCACACTGGCCCCTAATTTATTTTTTGGATTACTGGTACACAAAAAATAACAAACTAAACAAAAATGTTTACAAGCCACTTTCACTTAAGTTTCTTTTTCTATTATTTGCATTCAAGATACTCAGTACATTACTTGGTAGAGAAATAGATTTTAAAATTAACAATAGTTTTGAACTATTCGCAGTCACGTGACAAGGCTGACCGACACGATATCTCTCGCCACTTTGTTACGGCGGTCATGTGACTTGGTCGCCGGACACATAGTGCGGGAGATAGACGTCCGGCGCGCCGGACGTGTAGACACTGCCTTTTTACTATGGACGAAACCTCCACATCTTGTGACCTCATTCCGCTGAACGCGTCATGCGCAATGACTATATA